GTCCCTCCGCAACAAGCGAACCCTATATAAGGTCTGCATACGACCTGTCCTGTCCTACGCGGCCCCCATTTTTGCACATGCTAAGCCCAAAGCTATAAATGAACTTCAAAAAATCTATTCTGTCGTAGGGCCACTAACTCGCCCTATTATGTCCGTAATGCCGACCTACATCGAGACTTAGAGCTCCCAACAATCCAGCAATTCCTTAAATCACTCTCTCAGAGATTTTTCAAAGCCTCGGAGTCCCACCCAAATCATCTCATTCGTGAGACAGCTGCCTATGCAGCCCCTATCCACACTCGCTATAGTGTGCGCAGACCGAGAAACTCTCTCTCGGACCCCCCCCCCCCCCCAACAAGCTTTCGGCTGACCTGAACTGCCTCCTGGCGGCTCAGGCCGAGCCTCCATAACACATCCATTAATCTGCCTTAGTTAGGCACTCTTCTAAGCGGCTTTTCGCCGCTTGCGCCCTCCTTTCTGCCAAGGAGGGTCGCGTATATATACGGCTTAGAGATCTCTAGTAAGATCGTTAAGCCATTTTCAAAAAGGCGGTGTTTAGTGGGTAAAAGTCTCCACATAACCACGCAGCCGGCTGCGTGGTATGCTATGAGCATTCACCGTCTCCCTCCCCCGCTTTCCGGAGGGTTGCCCATATTTGCTTCGGGCGCAAAAAAAAAAGCGTGCTAGGTCAGTCTCGCTCGGGCGGTCGGACAGTATACACCTCTCTAAGGATGCCGTTAGGCTGTCAGTCAAATAAACGAGGCTTTCAGTATACTCGTAGTGTTTTCTTTGGAAGATTGAAGATTAGTGATCACTATGGAGGTAACATTAGTGACGTCAGCTGTGTACGGGTCGGACAGTGTACACCTCTAAGGACGCCGTTAGGCTGTCAGTCGAATAAACGAGGCTTGTAGTATACTCGCAGTGTTTTCTTTGGAAGATTGAAAATTAGTGATCACCATGGAGGTAACATTAGTAACGTCAGCACAGCTGACGTCACACTTTTTAAAAACACAATGGAGCTCGGTACTCCGTTAAATATATAGCTTTTGCATAGTCAAAGAACATATTGTAATGAAATATGTTTGACAGTTTATTGTACTTTACATATTTTAACTTTATTATATCTTTATAACTACAGAAACAAAATGTTCCAAAACAATTTCGTAGGAATATTGTCATGTTGAAAGATAAGTTTGAATATCTGTTGAAAATTTTTCAGTTTTTGAGAGTGCGCACGCCACCATCAACAAAACATGTTGTTTGATTTATTTTACGCGATTTTGTTTCAAAACATTACGTATTGGATGTTTCTAAACGTACTGTGACGCATTTTCAAGCATCTCACGACTGATTTTCAAAAACCAGAAGGCACAGACCAGATTAACTGGTTGAATTGCCAGAAGGCGTAATAGAAAAAAGCAGTAGATGTACAAAAACTGCAAGAAAAACATTTCGTCCATACTATGTTTACTTCGAATATTTCCTTTAATTTCGAACTCGTATGATTTTTTCTCCTTAAAATATTTTTGCGTAGAGTATATCAGAAAATACATGATCTGATCTGAAAACCGGTTTAACAACCGTTTCTATCTACAAAAGGAAGAGTTAGCTATGGGGTCCCCTCTAAGTCCACTTATGGCGGACATTTTCATAGATTATTTCGAAAAAAAAAACATAGTTTTTAACCAAAATACCTTATACTATTATCGATATGTAGACGATATAATTATTTGCTGGACTGGCACAAGGAGACAACTGGATGTTTTCCTTAATAAAATAAATAGAGTCCACGAGAAAATTAAATTTGAGCCTGAATTGGAACAAGATTGCTCCCTTAAATTCCTTGACTTAACAATAACAAGAAAAGAGTCGTTGCATGTTTTTCAAATTTATCTAAAGCCAACTCATACCGACACGGTCATCCCCGCGTCATCGTATCATCCATGGCAACATAAATTAGCTGCTTTTTATTGTTACATTAACCTTTTGTTTACTGTTCCATTAAGTAAAGAAAATTATTTAAGAGAACTGAATATAATTTATCAAATTGCGGTCTCTAACGGTTTTTCAAAAACTCTTATTAATAATCTTATTAAAAAGAAACAAAAGCATGCGCAACTCTTTGTACGCGGTTCAATCTCAAAGTGTCCGGCGATATGTGGGTAGTTTGACCTACTTAGTCTCCATATCGGAAAAAATAGCTAATACTCTTAGAGAAAACGGCGTTAACGTGCGTTCAAAACAAACAATTCGCTTAGAAATATTTGTAATAATAAAGATAAGTTAAATGTCAAAAAACGAGTGTTTATAAACTTGTTTGTGACGAGTGCCACGAGCGGCATTTGGCCACGTACAGAAATTGCAATCCTGATAAATCCCATTTTGCTAAACATCTCTTGGACACTGGACACAACCTAGCCAGCGACCATTCCTTTGAAGTCTTACATACTTGTAATAAGGGGCTGCGACTGTGTGTGATGGAACAGTTGGATATTTAAAAAAATAATAATGGTAACAATGCACTGCTGAATGAACAAACAAACGTTTCTAATTCACCTTTATTAAACATCTTTAAGGCTAATCTTTAATAATAATTTTGAAATTAATAATAATAAATAATTATAATAATATCAATAAAACAATAATAATAATGCTTAAAAATATTAATCACAATACTAATACACAATAATGATAATTAGTCGCAGGTTTGGTATCGCACGGCGCGGTCACTCACTACTTTGGTGGTCGATGCTGTGTCTTGCCTGAAATAGTAGTGTTGGAAGTAGTGGTGCTGGGACTAGTCGTGACTGAGTTAGCGCATGTAATTGAGGAAGGGCGGGAGGTGCTCTTCAATCCAAGTAAGACACATCATTGTATTTAGTTAGCGGAAGGTTGCGAAGTAATTTATATTTTTATTAGTAATATTTAACGTAAAAAAGGTATTATCATCATCAAAAGTAAGTTATTTACCAACTTTCTTAGTATCTCTTTTCTCTTTCTCTTTCATAGTTATTTCCTAACTTTCTTTTGATAGTAAAATACTTTTTTTCGTTAAATTAACAGATCTCAAATTTTTATTCTCAACTTTATCCCATATTACATAATTTTCGAGATAACGACCAAAAAGAAGAAAAAGACCAAAAATACTTAATTTTGTTTTTCGATAGTTAAACTCTTTGAGCATATTTTCTATGCTGCTTGCCTAAACAACCAAAGCCACTATTATAGATCTGTGGGAATTTTTCGGTATTTTCTACGTGGATGAAATTGAATAAAGATGTGCAGGTATTTTTTGTTTATATTCTACGCGGGTGATAGCTTTAGAAGTATTTGTGTTGCAAATTTTAAAACGTAAAAATTACTGAGGTATGAACACCAAGTTTTGTGCTCCCAATTGTAATCCCTTTATGTGGGTACTCATCACATGCTCAGTGAAAAATGGTATCATCAAGAAAACTATAACTTCATAGATGGAAATATTTAGAATTCGTGATGTAATGGTGATGTCTACTACTTTGCACTAAAATAGCACTAGTCGCATACTTTTTAGAAGTGAGAGCTAATTAACTGCTAAGCGATAAAAGTTGTTACTATGCATGCCAATTAATTAATAAAAATTAAGCTGGATTGTCAAAATAGTCTTTAACTATTATAGAAGAGTTTGAAAAATCTCGTTAAATTATGTAAGACTTAAAAAAATTAAAAAAAGATTAAATGAAAGTATATAAATGACGAGAATTAAATTTATATGTTTTAAAGTTTTTAATTGAATTATTTTAATTATACGGTAACGAGTTTATATTAATTTAACATTTTACATTTATAATTAATTCAATTTTTCTGCCAATTCTTTCAAATTGTTTTAGAAAATTCAGTTTTGTTTTAAAATTCAGTTCTTTACTGGTGCATTGTTATTGTTTTTAAAATATCAAAATTGAGACTCAGAATATGTAGATTTGACACCTATCGTATTGTGGAATTAACAATCACGAGATAGAAACAGAGCGATATCATATGTTATTTATAACGTCATTACAAAAATTTACAACAACAATTTGTTGTTTACAAACAAAAAACATTAATAATTATATGTATCCAATGCATATAAATATACAAAATTACCAGCGTTATTCAAATTTTCAATGGCATTCACCACAAGTAATAGCTAGTGTGCTTTGTTGTCAACAAAATATACTATCACGACGCACGCTAACATTTATATAATGACAACTTCAAAGTTACCATTCTTATCAGCTGGAAATAATAGTGTCCCATTACCTTAAGTGTAGCTTGCATGTGACCACAACATGCCCTTAATAATTGTGGCAATTATTGAACATTAAATTACTATTAATTGAATTTTAATTTGAATTGTTTGATTAATCCAATGTTATGTACGTTAAATCAGTTTTAAATTTTATTCTTCACATAATAAGTTTACCTGTATGATGATTGTTACTTGTATGTCTATACTATTAGTTTCTTCTTCTTTCCTCCTTTAAAGTAAGGCGGTTTATTTTGATTTTGTGAGATCACACCTCAGTGTACAATGTTGCAATAAAAATATTACCGAAAGTTATCTCATGTTCAGAGTTCTAAGTGCTTTAAAGTGGGGTTCTAAATATATCTATACTCTGGATAAGTCCGTATAATGCTCGGACTAATCTTAAGATGCGTTCAATAAAATCTACCTCGTCTAACAACTTTCTATTTTTTTTTGTTCTTGCATATTTTGATTATGCGAATGGTTACACTGAATCCCGCCATTTTTATTTTTAATGTCATTCCTTATTTGGTTGTTGTCTATTGTCATTAGTGATTTGTCAAATTGTGAGACTAAAATTTTTAGAATTTACGAATTTATATGGAAATAGCTACGCATAAAACATTGAGAGGTCTTTCTTATTTTTTTATTCTTTAACTTATAGGTATATAAGCTACTTTTATAATATGTAATTAAACCGAAAAATAATAAAAATAAAATAATTTTACCGAATATGGAAGAGGAAAGTGAGTAAATTTAATAAACTGGGATATTTTGTGTTTTTCCGGGTTTATCTATATTTTTTTTTTGTAGAATTAATACGAAGGAAAAAGAAAGCATTAAATGGAAGCAATAGGCGTAATTTAGCAGAGGCTTGTAATGATTTGGCTATGTTTTACTATAAACACAATCGGTATAGTGATGCACTCGAAGAGTATAAAAATGAAGCTGCTGTCGTTAAAGATCTGGGTCTACGAATGGAATGGGGCACTTGCAATAGGATGATTGGTGAAATGTATATGTTGTTAGCAGAATTTGATAAAGCTCTCAAATATGAGGAGCGGCATTTAGGTAAGATATTTTTTTTAATTAAACCATCTATTCTTTTAAAGATAAAACATAAAAAATTATCACATTATTGATTTAATACAAAAGTTTCCTAATAGATTTCTATTCACCCATTGGTACTTGATTCTTCGAAACGAATGTGTTTTTTGGGTTTGCTATAAACATCTGTTACTTGATTTTAATAATGTTTTTAGTCTAGGAGGCTTGTTAGGATTAAGCTTGAACCTGTAACACTGTTTTTAGATGTCGGTCATGTGTTTTGAATTCATTATGATTGAAACAAATTTCACAAAAAATTATGTAATGACGAAATGCAAATATGTCAATTTGTTCTCATATTATGAAGTAGATGTCTGGTAATTGATTTTTTAATTTTGTTTTCAATTTAGGAGGGTTGTCAGGGTCAAGCTCAAAACCATTTACACTGTTTTTAGATTTGGGAAAAAATTACGGAATCCTTTTGAATTAATTACTATAAAAATAAATTTCACTAAAAATTGCATATAACGAAATGCAAATATGTAAATTTGTTTTTTTTTTAACACAGATAAAAAAGTTAATCACTAGGACCCAGACAATCCATTTGTGGCTGCATACAGGACATATATACATATATACAAATTGAGTCGCATTGGAGAACAGTGAAGATGATTTTCAGAAAACAAAATTTTAACAATTCACATTACATTATTTCATTTACTTACTATCATAGTAGAGTTTAGGGCAACCAGACTTTATGGATAAGATTGGTCAAATCAGTTCTAAAACCAAATTAGCTCACTCCGACTCCTCATAGTCTTATCTGCTCTACTGCCAGTGTTTTTGTAAAGCCGTAGGCACAGAGGGAGAGCAGCCCCTGTAGCAAATCGTAGGCACGGGAGCATGGTTGCCTGTAATTTGCTACGCAAGGGCGCAGGGGCTGCACTTCCCGCAGTGCCGAAGCCATTGCATTAGTAACATTGCGTCAATATTCATCTATAAAAAAGTGAGGTTATAATTTTACAAAAAAAAATTATTAATCATAAACTATACATTTCCGCAACGGGGGTAGGTTAGGGGGTTTCTTTCAAATTTAAATCCAGGTTGTATAACATCCAAGTACTAATTCCAAGATGCCAAGTTTGAGTTTTCGACTGTTGCCATATGGTAACAGTAGGTCAAAAAGAGTACAGCAATTCAGTTTTCTGCTGTTTTACATGAATAGAAACACAAATATCTTTATATTTTTTTAGATAAACCTATATAATAAATTTTTACTTAGAATGATAATCTTCAAAACATTTGAGACATAAACCTTCATTACATTTTGAACACATGACTCCCAATTGTTGTACAGTGATGTAGAGCCACGCTGCAGTTATATTAGTAGTATAGTTGTAGCACGAATAGGTCGGCTCGAGTGGGGAAGGACCACACCCTCACAGAATACCAGCGTTAAATTGTAGCTTAATGCTGCTGTGTTTTGTATGGTGGATGTAGAGAACTGGAGAGGCTTTTTACTGAAAACGAGGCATTCCATGACAATGCATCTGCATTTTGATTTGTAATCGAGGATAGATGTAGATGTCTATGGGCCCACAGCAACCACTTACCATCAGGTGGACAGTGTGCTCGTTTGTCATCCTATCCTATATATAAAAAAAACCTTCTGCTCCAGCTCATCTACGTTTTTTCTACTGAATTTGGATAGTGGTTGTCAGTCATATCTTTCTCCTTCTAAAACTTTATCCAGACTGAGGTAAATGGTCGACCACCAGGTTTTGGGGGATTTTCACGGTTTTTCAAATATGTTTAGGGTAACTCACAATGGAAATTGAGCTGCAAAATGTCTTTTCCTGTGTGACATCTACAAGCCACGTAATAATAGGCCACCACCATTTTTGACTCGAATCCCAAACCTATAAGTGTTAACATGAGTATCCATGAGGTAATATTATAAATGTGAAAAGTTGTTTGAATGTTTGTTTGATCTTGATTAAACTTAGCAATAATATAGATGACAAACTAAAATAGGACATAGGCTATTTTTATCCCAAATAAGTTTTTATTCCATGGTGCATAAAATATTGGCAAGTTTTTGTTAAAAATGAGTGGAGCTGAGGATAAAAGCTAGTAAAATATATATATATTTTAATCTAATTAAATGTGTTGCCAGTGATGACCTACAGAACCAAGACGTGGTCCTTCACTGCTGGCCGTATGAGGATGCTCAAAGTCGCTCATCGAGCTATGGAGAGGGCTATGCTCGGAGTTTCTCTGCGTGATAAACGTAGAAAAGAGGATATCCGCAGTAGAACCAGAGTGACCAACATAGCCCAACGGATTAATAAGCTGAAGTGGCAATGGGCTGGCCATATAGCTCGAAGAACTGACAATCGTTGGGGAAGAAAGGTTCTCGAGTGGCAGCCTCGTACCGGTAGGCGAAGTGTAGGGCGACCCCCCACTAGATGGAGTGACGACCTGGTAAGACATGCAGGAAGTCGATGGATGCAAGTGGCTCAGGACCGTGCTTTGTGGCATACCTTGGGGGAGGCCTATGTTCAGCAGTGGACTTGTGAAGGGTTATAATGATGATGATGAAAATATATATACAACTAAAATTATTCATGGATCAATGACAAATATGAAAATAATCCACGTACCTTATTCTTTATGTAAAATGTGTGAAACTTATTTCTAAAATTTGAAAAGCATATTTTATTTATTTAAGAGCCTCTCTTAATTTACTGGCATTTTGAGCTGCAGTAAGTAAGATAGATGTACCATTAAATGCACAAATTAATACTATAATTATGTTTTTATGTGTTTAATTTTTTTATGTACTTTTAGTATTATTTAATTAACATGCTTGATTATATCAATATAATCAAGCATATATAATATATGGTCTGTGAAACAAGTGTATGTACTATTTTGAACATTACACAAATATTTATTAGTATAAATTATTATTTAGATATGATATCTTAGGATGTCCTACACTAAATAAAATTTGTTTATATAAATTTGTTTTCTTCTTACCTTTACATTAGCTAGCCATCGGTCCATTTTGCTAAATGCAAAATTAGTCTTCTTCATACCACATGGTGCCATTTTTCCCCATATTATTCTTGATCTTTAATAGCTCCTATAATATTTATTTCTTATATCATCTATAGGCAGACAATTTTCAATAATTTGTACAGTCAACAATTAAAATAATTTATATACAGAATTATAATCTGAAAGTTAACATGCAAACTATAACTTACCTACTTAAAATGTCAAAACAAAATAAATTTAAACATGCTTCAGTTGCAAACATGTTGTAGTTTGACTATCCTTCATGAAGTTACTATAAGTAGCTTATCCTCATATAGAGCAATAACTCATTGCACCTTTTTTTATCTCGATCCATTCATGTAAATAACCTTGAGATGTTCACAAGTCTCACTTAGTTGCATAATCACTAAGATGAGTTTATAAACTTGATAAAATCTTCACAATAGACATCATGCTTTCTTTTTTAAATCTTAATATATTTTCTTTAGAAACATTCATATAGGGCATTGGGTTTACATATCTTAGATTTTATTTGCAGTGCGATTAATAATTTCAAGATTAGATTAGATAGGTGACGGACTGTTTTCTACTAGCTTAACTCCATGTCCAAGCACATATTTTGCGGTTAGCAGAAATAACGTGATTATTTGAGCCATGAAATCTCCCGAAGAAGTTCAACAGTACTTTGATGTTGCAAGCAACTGCAACTTCGTGGAGTGATCCCAGCTAGGCGTATTGATATGTTTAGCTCTGTATGCAGCTCCTCTGGACATATCAGCAATATGTGGGCTACCGTTTCTTCCTCCCTCATACATCCCCTGCACAGATTATTATCTGTAACACCTATAGTGAATAAATGTTTGCTAAGAGTCATATCCTGTGATAGCACTTGTATATATATATATATCATATCCTGTGATATATTGTCATATCCTGTGATCCTGATCTGTGGTTCGTTCAATTTCATTGGTAATTGCAAATTCAGACATCACACACTTCTGACGCTGCTCCCTTCGCCAATCTTTGTATACTACGTCTGAATGGTTGTGTGATGGTTGGAACAAGATGATCATTCTGTCATCTACCAGAAGCCATGAGATCTTTCTGGCTTATCCCACAGTTGTTACATGGGTTACTGTCCCATAAAGGTAAAATTGTAGAATTTAATCTGTGCTTTATTTTGATAAATGATTTCACTTTTCCAGATATTATATTAGATATTACCAGAATAATTTCAATACATATCTGCAAATAATAAGAGATGAATTATAAGAGAATTTGTTTACAATGCTATAGGTTTTCCTAATTACCTGTTTTTAGTATTTCATCTGCATTATTCTTGAACACTTTGCTTGAAGAAATGAGGAAAGCCTCCAGTGTGATCACTTTTAAAAGCCTGGATTGAAAATACTTTTTCAAAACAGCAACTCTGACTTAATATTAATTTCTACACATTTTATTAATTAATAATTTTTTATGTTTCCTTAGTCCCATTTCTTTGATCTTGGTGAAAGCAACATTTTATTAGTCTACATAATTAGTTTGTGTCTAGTGCAATTATTCATTTGTGTTGTATTTTCTTCAGAACTTACATATACGAGAGTTGATAGCAAAATATTGACAAATGTATTAGAAACATTTATAATATTTACATTACATCCATAGTTATTTAATTTTAGTTTATGTAATGTTTTTTATATAATTTATAAAGTACCAATTATTAAATTTTAGCAAGTATTGCAAAAAAACTTTCGCAAATTGCACAATCGAAAAGATTGTGTGATGGTACAACAGGTGTCCTAATAGCCGATGCCGCTGCGCCTTCACCGCAACGATGCTATTTCAACAATGGCTGTCAATATTACTTTGAAAATTGCAAATGTCATTAAAAACCCAAAAATAGAATCAGGTGTTATTTTGCGGAAATCCATTATACTAAAGTTGGTAAGAATAACCTCGCACATATCCGCTCAATAAAATAAAATGATTTGTTTTACCTAGTTTGAAGAGCACCATCGAAAAACCGTCGCTCCTCATCCCTTGCGTTGCTGCGTTCGCACAATTACGCGTGGCCGATGAGAACACTCAAAAAATATTTGGATCTTAACACAATTGTACGATCAAACCCATCGTACAATCGTTATTAAGCATTTCTTGTGCTTGTGCTGCGCAATGATTTGCAAGAAATGTGTATGTTTAATCTCATCGTGCGTCGAAATCGCATCGTTTGCTCGTAGGGTTGTTGCCAATTAGGACCACGCCTTAGAGGTCTTACATAAATAAATGATTTACAACTTCCTTTTTTATTCCTTTCAGAAAAATTCTTCTTGTACTAAAGTTATTTTTTCTTTTTAGCTGTGGCAAAGGAATTAAACAATTTAGTTGAAGAGCAAAGAGCTATGGCAACTCTTGGTCGTATATATTTATTGCAAGGTCAGAGTTCTAACGATGAAAAGGAAGCAAAAGTTTTTCTGACAGCCGCTGAGAAAGCATTTATGAAAAGTCTAGTTTTATGTGAAAAGTAAGTTGTGTTGTCTGTTATTCATCGTTTTCTTCTTCTTTTCATCTGCCAAGTAAAGTGCCATGCTAGACTTGGAACACCCCCATGGTAGGGAGTTTCCGCCTTAACCATTTGTTTCATAGTGTTTGACCGTGCAGTGGCGGTGTAAGAATATTCACTACCCCATAACATTCCGTGGGTGTTATAACAGAAGACTTAGGGAAACAAACAAGGAGATGGACTGCAGCTATTTCCTAATAGTAACATGAAGAAGGTGCTCTTGCCAACTTAGCATATATAATTAATGTGGCAATTCATGGGGGGCCTTACATTCAGTTGTGGATTTTTAATATACTGTAACAATACCAGAACTGATGATTTCAGTACCTGACGCACTTGCACCTTCAAAATTATTGTTACTAGCGATTGAGTATTTTACGAAACGTACAAAACTTAACGTAAAACATGTTAGTTATAATGCCTACATGCTATCGGAAGCCGTAACATTTTTGTGGCACTTCCCATAGTTCACGTCTTCTGACACTCACAGGGTGAAATGGAGTAATAGATTTTCTTACACCGCCACCTAAATATTGTTAGTAGCTTTTTTTACAATTCATTGATCATTTTGTTAATATTTTGTTTATTATTTATGTTAATATAATGTAATGGGAATTCTCAATGAATGCTACCTTTCTCCAGATTGAATGGTAAAATCACAAAGAGTGAACTGATGGATATGCGCGCCCGTCTCTTGCTCAATATTGGAGTAGTTCAAGAACATCTTGGATGCATAGACAAGGCTTTAGACTGCATGAACAAAGCAATAACCATTTGCTCCAATCAAGACTTATATGATATCCTACATAATTGTTATGCAACTGAAGCTTCATTGTACAGTAATAAACAGAAAGATTTTGCTAAAGCTTTAAGTTGTTTAAATAAAGCTCTGGAAGTTGCTAGCCGGCTAGAAGATAAGGTAATTGAAAAAAATAAATAAATTGAAAACTGCAAATAGACCATATTTTATATTATTTATCACTTAGGATTAATAGTAAATAGTTATAATATCATTTTTACATTGTGCAGGTTCTTAAAACATGTGAAACACTGTCGGCCAAAGCAGATATACTGTGTAAAATGTCAGACTATCAGAGTGCTAAACAGGTTCTCATGAAAGCTTGGAAACTGAATACACCTGATGAAGAAGAAAGAGAAAATATTGAGTCTAACCTGAAAGTTGGTAAGATGTTGAAATTGTTTATCTACCCGTGCGGTTAAAGAATGGGATTGAAAATGGCGTTGCCTCTATTCACCTTTCGCTCGCACACTATCACTATCTATACTGACACACGCGTAAAGACTGCAAAAAAATGCGTTGCGGTATGAGTTTTTCGATACGTTCTATAACTTCTGTCCAACTTGTCATTTGAATCAATTATAACAAATTCCCATAAACTACAAAAAATTCAGTTTGCTTTTGCTAATTTGTGAGTGTTTAACGACATGATCTGAGAGTATTCATCATAGTTATTGTTGATTCGGTTTGTTAATATTTTTGTATAAAATATTTAAATGCCATTGACCAATGACTCCAGTAATCATTTTTACCACGTTTTTATTCAGAAACGTTCTTGTATGTTTGTCTGTCTGTCTGTTGTTCCGGGTGGAATCTTGCAATATTTCGAGCACTTCCCGATTAGCTAGTGAGAAATTTTGAACATAGTTCAGAATCGCATGACAACGTAGGAATATGAATAAAACGTGGTATATTAACTTTTTTTATTATAAATTATAAAGAAAATCACTTGTTTAAAATTTTCGTTTGTCTGTCTCTCCTAGCTAATCTCCGGAATGGTGCAACTGATTGTAATAGAACTGCACGAAAAAATAGAGAATAATACCATGATCTAGACTAAATTTTATCCGAAAAATTTGGAGATTTTATTAAAATAGAAATATTTGAAAATCTTTAATGATTATCCTAAGTTTAAGTAACGCCACATTAATAGATCCCGCCCAAGCGAAGCCAGAGTAGGTCGCTAGTTTCCAAATATTTTTCCGTAATAGATACCTAATTCCAATTAACTGAATAATATAACGTTATAACGATATACCGTTATTAGCGGGGTTTCGCTATTGGTACTGTGCATGATGATAAGGGCTCGATGAGTCGCCATTTCTAATCCCATTCTGTATCTGTTAAAATTTTCATTAAATTATGTTTTTAACGGCAATAAAAATAATAAAGTTTATTTGTAATGTACCATGCTTATAATCATTAGCTAGGTGGTCAATATTACGAGCTTTTTGTGTGTTTATGCATGAAACAGGACTTTTGTGGAATTATATAAATTATAAATCATACCCAATGGCCATATCACTGGCTAGGAATTTATAAATAATTATTATCATCCATAAATTCCGTAATATTATTATAACCCTTTTTATACAAACTTTGTTTAGTAAAGTTTTTGAACTTTGAGGAGGACAAATCTTATATATTTTCTGGAATTTTGTTGTAAAAGTGTATACTCCAAGAATGAACCATATCGTACCCGTACCGTTTGTTCTTGGTATTTACAGAATGAATATCACTTTTTTTTAAACTATTTTATATTTCGTGTATAATGAGGTCAAAGTTAACGTATTAATTTTGTTAAATTTTTGTCTGAACGACTAGGTTTTGAATCGCAGATCCCTCTTATGGCCCTCTACCCATAGCCATAACTGTCAGGTCGTGCGCCTGATCTCTCTCCTGTGGTGTCGGATTATCAAATAAACTTGGGCATTTTAATTCTGTCCTGTGCTAGTCTCCGTCGAGACTTGTGTCCGTGACTGAAATTCGGTTGAAGGACATTATCATTATTTTGATTGTAATCGAGGAGAGATGTCTATGGGACAAAGCGTTCACTTACCTTTATCTGTGTCAATATTTGATTAGAAATATAATTCTTCTAGTCACAGAGCTGACTCATTCGAGCTACAACCATAAAGTTGCGTATCGACTTCGCGCGGCAAACCATCGAACATTGACTCGCGCGGCAGCCGAGCACAGTGGATACTGTGTTGCCGCGCGCGGCAATTCGAATATTGGCGCGCTCGGACGTGCCGCGCGACGAACTAATCCGTGTCGGTTTTTGACGGCGCGGCGCGGCAAAGGAACCTCAGCGAGTTGTGCTCGTGCAGTTGGGACGGTCGTTTATGTATTTTAGTTGGCGCGCGCGGGAAAAACGTGGATGAACAATTTCTATGGAACAGTAAATGTAGTGATTATCACAACAAATCATTAAGAAAAGATGCTTGGAATGAAATCAGTGCAGAAATGGGCTTGCATGTTGCACTTTGCCGATGTACAACGTCCATCGTTGCCGCGCACAAAATGAACGTTCGTTAGCGGATCGGCCGCCGCGCGGCTGCCTCGCTGTAGTTAAATTGTGCGCTAAAATTGGCTTGCGAGCTAAAACACAGTTTTGCTGCGGGCGAAAAATGCCCGCGCGGCAGCAGCGCAAAGTCGATACGCAGCTTTATATAACTGCAGCATCGCTCTACCATATATGCCCTTTGTGTTAATTTTAAATCGATTTTACAGTTGCAGCAATGTGCTACACAGAAGACCTTCTCATTTCAACTGATCCTACTGACCACATCACTTTCAAGAAGTTGTATGAGAAACTTGGCGATGGAGCGTGTCATCTTCGCAACTATGCTGGTGCGATGGAATATTACTTGAAAATGTTGGACCATGCTGAGTTAGCTGGTGACTGTGGAAAAACTCTTATTCCTATTTACGTCAGGTATGCATGTTGCCCAGTATTAAAATATTCTGTATAAAACTTGTTCGATTGTAACCTCATTACTTTTGTCGTTTATTCTTATCTTCTCTTAAATCCTAAGGCTTTCGTTTTATTTGATTTTGCTAAATCACGGGTTAGTAAAAAGTGTATTTTATTTTATTTTTATTCATATGGCTTACTAACAGTCAACTTATACTATAACAATCTTAAATAACAGAAAATTTTCTTAGGCTAAGTGTAGTGATTACTTACTAGTAAACACAGCATGCATTATAACTTTAACTTAAGTAGGTTTTGATTTATAAATTAAGTTAATAATTTTAAAAGAACAGAACGTAGTTCATCCGTATGGTTATAAAAAACACAAGCTGGTTGCACGATGTTAAGTACTAGGACTTAACCATACTGTCGACAATCTTTTTACGGAAACCGTAAGCGGAATCAAAGTTTACATCAACTATGTGTTTATAACTATTTAGCAGCTTACACAGTCTGCGTAATGGAGAGTTGCAGCCAAAAACAGTTGGAGCCTTCAGTGGAGCTGCCGGATGACGCGGATATCTTGAAGGAGCGCTAAATTCAAACACGTTTAGTAACTGGGCAACTGGTTCTATTGTTGAGAATTTTGTATAGAAACAAGTCTGTTAGCTCCCTGCGTTTATCCAAGGATAGCATTTCGAAAAATTTTAGCCTATCCGCATATGAGTGTAGTATAAATGGTGTGTGTACCCCATATCAAAATGTAAGTGTCATTAGAGGTCACAAAGGGAAGCAAACCTGGAGGTCTTCCATCAGCAGTGTCTTCCTGATAACATCAAGAAAATGAAGTATTGTGGTCAACCTGTCAAGACAATCTATGTGTTTTGTAAGTTACGAAAGAGCTGACAATTTGGTACCTTATTGGAGTACCTAAATATTACGCCGTGAAACCTGGGTTTGAATCCTAGCCCGAGTTTAGTGTGGTTGTGATATCATTGACCAGGATTCATATCCATATACAAATTTGTAAATATGTAACATGAACTGCAGTGGGGACACATCATAATACTGCATAAGGTTATTTCACGATTATAGTCATATTCATAGTCATTTGTTCCATAGAACAATATTTACATTGTATTGGAAATTGATTACAGGAAATGAAGTATTACGTTTGCATGAAATTAACATAAATAAAAGTACAATCGAATAAAATTTAAATATCGTTTCGCAATCATTCTACATTTAATACTTACATGTCATAGTTAAATATTTTTCATGTCATAATAGATTATGAATTAAAAAATTAACATTCATTAAGTTTATTTTTGTCATTTAGGTAATCGTCAACTAAATAGCAGCTTTTCTTAATTAATAATGATTTAAGTTTATTTTTTAATTTGTGGTGGTAATAAATAATTTTAAATGAGGTAGGCAAAGAATTAAATAGTGCACATGATATCAAGCCAACATTTTGTGTTGTGTAATAAAACATTCAATGTTGGTGTAATTGAAATTTTTAAATCTTTACGACAGGTCATTTCTCTCTTTTTCCTTTCTTTGTTTGTTTCATATTTGTAAAAGTTTTTTACTAAATATGTACGAGTAAGTGAAACTAGAAGTCTAGAAAGTAAAACTAGAACTAGAAGTCGTAAGTGAAACTAGAACATACAGAGGGGGAACCAAGTTAGTGTTATCTTCACTTGGTACATCACACTATCTTTTTAGTTTCATTTACAAATAAATTCTTATTTTGATCAACAATTTTCACCGCACAACGGCAGTGCATGCATTGTACTGTTACGGTTTGAATGGTAACATCAATATAATCACAGGCTGTAAAGCGTTTCATCTTAGTACTTAGGATTGACGATGCTTTCTGTAGCCTTCTTTATGTAAAATTGATGGTGGTTCGTGGATTACAATAGTTGCCTCTTATTATCAGGTGGTTTGTTAGTTAGTTTGCCACTCTAATTTTATAAAAATAAAAAAGCGGTCTAGGTGCGACCCAAAAGGTCCACACAACTAACTTCCCAGTGGAAAGAGTAAAAAAATATCATATGTTTTAAATTTTATACAATTTTCAATTTTTCATACGGCACAAAAAACGACTTTGCTCGACCGATTTGACCGATTTTGCTCAAAATTTAATGAGGTCTAAGTTACATAATTATGCGTTAAATGAAACTGGGCCCATGTCAATATCACTCTTTGTTCTTGAGTTACACGAGGCGGAAATTGAATTCGAACATACATGCGTACATGTGCACACACGGACATCCTCTTAAAAACCATACTATTCGCCTCTAAAGACCTTGAAACGTGGAGATATGTTAAAATTTCCAATTTGCAAAATCGGTCCCATTACAATAACTTCCCACTGGGAAGTTAACAATCAGAAATGCGACTTTTGGGTTCCACTTCATAAAATAAGAAGCATTATAACCTTTTTATACATTTTTCTCTTACATCAGCAAACATTGATTTCAGCCTCTATCAAACTTACAAAGACATGGGTTGTTATAATGAAGCACTTCAGTACTATGACAAAGAATACGAATTAATTAAAGATGTTCCCAAAGAGGCTTTCACTACTCTGTTCAACATTGCTGAAGTATTGTTTTTAGCTAAAAAACCATACAGTGAAATTGAGAAGGCATGTCTTGAAGCAAGGAAAGCAGTGAGTAACCTGTAACTTTAGTCCTAATTTTAAAAGGCTTGGCTTATGATTTTCTTAACTAATTATGGTGTGTTTTGTATATTAATACTTTTGACGAACTGTCAATTTAAAACTAGAAATTTTGGAGAAAAATAGGAAAAAAGATTGCGGTAATTTTTTTTTAGAATTTATATACCAAAATTGAATCATAGTTTCTTGAAAATGTGAAATAAACAACTTATTTTTGCATAAATATTATGAAAATATAATTTTGCGGTTCACCTAGTATGTACATAAGTTCTGTTACAAATTAATATGCCTATTTTTTTCCAAAAACATGGTGTAATGATGAAACTGTGTACATTGTTAAAGTCTAAGGCAGGTAATCAAAACTTTAAATTAAACATAATTTTCAAATTTGTCTTTAGCTTTTATACAGGCCTTTAATTTTAGGTCTTAATGCACGGTCTCCATGGTGAACTAAGATACTGATGGAGAACTAAGATAGTCCTACTCCATAATTTAATTTAACAATCGCAGTGAATAATTAATATTTGAAATAGCGGAAAACTGATCGAAGTTTCTTACATTACTCACATATTATAACATAGTGTAAATACACTCCGAATTTGTATTAAAAAAAGGAGGAGTACTAAAAAATTGCAGTCGTGATAACTACCAAATTTAATCAATATATAATGATTTCTTATATTTATGTGAACATTAGATATTGAATAAAAATATTTTTACGGATTTTATCGCGTTTAATTAATTTATTTTTAATTCCCGACTTTTGGGCCGAGTGAAACCCGCCACAGACGAGGTTGGCTACATCTTGAAGCGAGCTTCCATTAAAACATACTACAAGCTTAGCTCGTTCTGCGTAGATCTGACAGAAAACTTAATATTCAAACACTGAAAGTGAAGGAAGCCAGGCTAACTATGACATTGGGACGTCATTCATCTCAGTCCCCCCCCCCCCCCGTTGGAAAGCATTCGAAACGTAAGGATTAAAAATAAGTTAATTAAACGCGATAAAATCTGTAGAAACAGTTTAATTTAACCAATATATTTTTACCATTATTATACATAATATATATTATACCAGTTTATTTTTGACCCAGAAATAATAAGTAGACTTCATTTTTTCAATGGGTGTTAGGAGAAATAATTTAGTATGATTTTAATTTTTTGCATTATACATTTTATTTTACTTTATAATGAATGAAATATACCAAAATGCTATATTATGAGGATGTACTAAAGACTATAAAAAATTATACAATACACTATCAAATAAAATTATACTTAAGGTGAAAAAATGTATCTCATATGTTTAGGTCAGGTTTGAAACTGTCATAACACTATCGGATTGTAATATCATTGTGACAACGTAACTGAGTCTAGCAAGAAGTAGCAGAACCTAAGGTGGGAAACGGTTACTGATCGTACATTTCATGACAACACTTAACATGTGTTTTCATATTACATTTTTTCACAATAAATAAAATAGAATTAGAAAAAAGTAATTATTTTCTATTCACTAAAAAATTTAAATTGTTGTTGTGTTTTTTCAGCGTAATTTATGCTTGAATTACACAATCTTACCGAATTTCATTACCATTTCAGGCAAGGGATTGGAACAAAAAGAAATATGAAATCCGAGTACTAAAGAGTCTTCTAAAGTATCAAGAGGAATATTTTGAGACTGATAAAATGGAACAAACTAAGGAAGAGTTAAGGGCATTAGGCTATGATAATTTTGACAACCTAGACAATTCTGAAGATGAACAGAGCTCTCCTGGTGTTTGTGATGAAGATACTACTCATATTGGTGATGATATTTGTCTTGAAGACTTGACAGGTAAATGTTAAAGTATTCTATATATAAAAGAATAAATTTTCAGGGTATATGAAAATAATTTTATGTTTATTCCTGCATATTTTAGCAACTGCCTCAAATTTGTTGGAAGAGAGAAATAAATTATCGTAAAATTTTGCTACTATAAGTCAAAACTCGGTACTACAAACTCCCAAAAAATAAAATAGAACACTATGTACATTTGAGTTATGCTGAAACCATGCCATTGTTTTTGAGATTTTGAAGTAATTCTTCCAAGTCATTATCATAGTTTTTATGGTCTATCACATGTCCACTGGTGCATGTTGCCAGTGATTACTTATGGATCTGAGACATGGTCCTTCACTGCTGGCCGTATGAGGACACCATAGATATAATAAAGGAGATATGCCCAGTAGTTGAAAATGTATCGGAACCCGGTGTCTCCAGATGATACCACGCGCCAACTACTACACATACAGATCAGTAAAAGCAATAGATAAACAAGTCGCGCACACGCTCGCATTTTATAAATCAGAACGTACTACACAATTAATTATAAACCATATCTCTAAAATCACAACATCCATTTACCATTCACCGTACTGCTTACTCACACAAAAATATCGGGCATTATCGTTGTGCTGTAAAAAGCCATTTATTTTACATATGCGTTAGTGATTGACTACATTGGAAAGTGTTGGATTGTTTCATTTATACCAAAATTGTACTAAATTTTTTTTGGGCCCTAAATATAAAATAAATAAAATTCAATGCCTAGAGAAAATTATAATAAAAATAAACAATATGTAGGTAAAAATGTAATTATTAAGTACCTGAACTAAAAAGTTTAAGGAGTAAAAAATTCGGTTATGTTGGTTGGCGGATTGAAGTAGTAGGTATTTTGGAACGATGCTATGGTGTTTACTTACTGACCTGTAAAGTGAAGGTATTTGTGCAGCACTTGACGTTTTGATATTTTTGGGGTGGCATTTTTTGTCAAATAGTGTTATCTAAAAATAATGTGATTATTTATCGGTGACTGCTCATATTGGTGAAACTTTAAAAAATTTAAATTTGGCAAAACCTTTGCCATGAGTTCCTGTTTGACATTTTTAGTTTAATTGCTTATTTATCATTGAAAGAAAGAAAGAAAGAAAGACCTTTATTCACTGGAACTGTACACATCACAAAAATAAAATAATAAACAGTTAAAATGTAGCAGATTAATATTACAAGTGATGAGGTGTGTATGGAGCCAGTGAAAAGGTTATTACTCAGCGTAATGCTGCAGGGTAACTTACAGCGCTGATGATTCTGTCATAACCACAGATACACGCACGATCCGCCTGGGTGTATTTTATGAAATACGTTTCCATAATAAATTAAAACTAAACGTTACTCATCAATATACCTATATATACTTAGTCCTATATATAAGTACATTAGAGAAATACACACATACGTAGAAGACATATTATACACATAAATTTAATATAAAAATGAAAAAATAAAAATTTTAAAATACATACACATATACACAGACACATACATATATATATATATATGTCGTTCCAGCACCTAGTAGCTATATATATTTAAAACTACCTCTAAAAGCTGCAGAATAGTAAGTGGGGGCATTGGCGAGACAAGCTTTTTTTTATGATAATTTCCATTCTCTTACAAATTACGACGACCAGTAGTTTTTGTAGGGGACCAGTTAGGTGGCCTTCCAGTGGCATCAATCCATTCCTTTTTTTAAATTAGCATCATTTGAGAAGCTGAAAGGTACGATTAATAACCTATTTATTATTTTCATATACCCTAAGCTACTTCTTAACCTCATCATGTACTAAGCAGGTTTTGCCTGGCAAGCTTTTGTTATAAAAACTCCTGGTTAGTGAAAATGTTGTTAAATATATGAAAACAAATACACGCTCATGTCTAACAAATAAATAGCAAGAATAATTATATTGACTAATTTTAAGCTAGTCACTATTATGATACTATCCGAACCATGGTTCTATATTTTTCATTCATAGAATATTAGGTATTTATGATACATTCGAAGCTTTTGAAAACTGTAGATTATATTGAACCCCAAAACCATAAAAATTATGAAAATTTTTCGAAGATGAGGCATAATATACGATAATTCAAACCTAAGAACACTCCATCGATTATTAACCTAAAACTCAACATACTTTACGACCTTTGGTTACGCATTCAGCGTAGTATTTGCAGTAAAATAGTCAAAATAAGTAAAAAAAAAAACATTATGTCACATCGGTCTTCATATCGGGTTGAGACGGTTGACAAATTGGAGAATAAACTATAATAATGTTACGAGCTTGAGGTTCGTGACAATAAAAATTGCCGATAGAATTACCTAAATTAACAATTTAATTTTCTTTACACAAATTAAAACTTAAAACACCAATAATTAATCACACTGATTAACTTTATTTCGCCGAAGCCCAAATCAATACCCCATCCCTCATACCACAAATACACCAATCGACAAAGCGCCGAAAGTTCGAGTCTCAGCTTCTAGAAGCTTAGTTCTTCGTTTCGACAACAGATGGCGCTCTTGGTTGAAAGCTCTCTCCTCGCTGTGTTACCCGACACTAGATGGCGCTAGTGCCAGATGTCAACTTAGCTGCGCAACACTGCCCCCTCCTAAGACATGTTCGTCCCGAGAATTATCGGCCCCATAATAACGCGCCAGGCGATCCACATGGATGATCTTAGGAGTCCCTCTTGTGCCTTTCTGTATCCGGTAGGTTACATCGTTGATCCTGGTCACAATCCGGTACGGGCCGTCCCATTTAGCTTGAAGCTTAGGAGATTTCCCTTTGCTGCGGACGGGATTATGCAACCACACTAGTGAACCTTCGTCGAACCCTTTGTTGTTCATTTTGCGGTCGTACCGGGTTTTCATCTTTTCAGACACTTGCTGGCCCGATTGTCTGACGTGCTCATAAATGTCATTCATTTTGTTCCGCAAGTCATTTGCATAATCGGTTATACTACGTGGAGCATCAGGTGGTATCCCGGTGATCAGGTCTGCAGGCAGCCGTAATTCTCTTCCAAAGTTTGCGAAAGCTGGTGTCACTGCTGTACTTTCGTGAACAGCGCTTCGATATGACAACAAAAACGGTTGTATGTGCTTGTCCCAATCTCGTTGCCGATTGTCTACAACTTTTGCTAGGTACCTCTCCAATGTCTGATTAAATCGTTCTACCATTCCATCAGATTGCGGGTGATAAGAAGTCGTTCTTGTTTTATGAGTACCCATAACTCGGCAAGTTTCCTGGAATATTTGAGACTCAAAATTCTTTCCTTGATCGCTGTGAATCTCTAAAGGTACTCCAAAACGACAGAAGACTTCATGAACTAGTTTATCTGCAACTGTTGAAGCTTCTTGATTTGGAATGGCGAAGACTTCCGGCCACTTAGTGAAGTAATCCGCAAGTCATTTGCATAATCGGTTATACTGCGTGGGGCATCAGGTGGTATCCCGGTGATCAGGTCTGCAGGCAGCCGTAATTCTCTTCCAAAGTTTGCGAAAGCTGGTGTCACGGATGTACTTTCGTGAACAGCGCTTCGATATGACAACAAAAACGGTTGTATGTGCTTGTCCCAATCTCGTTGCCGATTGTCTACAACTTTTGCTAGGTACCTCTCCAATGTCTGATTAAATCGTTCTACCATTCCATCAGATTGCGGGTGATAAGAAGTCGTTCTTGTTTTATGAGTACCCATAACTCGGCAAGTTTCCTGGAATATTTAAGACTCAAAATTCTTTCCTTGATCGCTGTGAATCTCTAAAGGTACTCCAAAACGACAGAAGACTTCATGAACCAGTTTATCTGCAACTGTTGAAGCTTCTTGATTTGGAATGGCAAAGACTTCTGGCCACTTAGTGAAGTAATCCATCACAACCATGAAATACTTGTTACCGCTTTCACTCTCCGGAAACGGCCCCGCCACGTCAATGGCTATTCTCTCCCATGGTGCACCAACATTGTACAACTTCAATGTACCTCTACTACGAGTCTGAGGTCCCTTTACAGCCGCACAACTTGTACATTTGCGACACCAGTCCTCGACATCGTTTCGACAGTGGACCCAGTAAAACCGTTCTCGGATCTTCAGTAGAGTTCGTTTAACTCCCAGATGGCCTTCTGAACAGTCATTATGGTACAGCTGTAGAACATCCGGTACTCTAGGTTTAGGGACGACCATTTGCAAATGACAGCTGTCTCCCCGAACATTTTCCCATTTACGGCACAGAACTCCATCCTGAAGCAGCAAGCCATTGGGCTCAATAGCTTTTAGTGGTCGAACTCATCGCTGAGACGTCGCTCCACTTGGGCTTGGGAGCACTGGCCTTCATCCATTCCAGAATCGGCTTGATGACCGGATCTTCCTGCTGTGCACGTTGTAAGCTGTCCTTCCACTCGTTGCTGAGGTGGTCTGCCCTGAGCATCCTCACGGATACCACTTCCTTACTCTCTTGCCTAGTACAATGTTTGTAATCTTCAGGACAAGGTCTTCTTGACAATGCATCTGCGTTGCCATGAGATTTCCCGCTGCGATGTTCGATCTCAAAGTCGTATTCCTGCAGTAGTTCAATCCATCTCGCAACTTGTCCTTCTGGATTTTTAAACTGTAATAGCCATTTTAGTGCAGCATGGTCAGTTCGTAAGTGAAATTTTCGCCCCAGAAGATATTTGCTAAAATGCTGCAACGACTTTAACACAGCTAGCAATTCCGTCTTGTGACACAATAGTTCCTTTCCGGTTTTGACAACGACTTGCTGAAGTACGCTATCACAACCTCTCGATCACCGTTCCGCTGAGACAACACACCGCCGAGCCCTGTATCACTTGTGTCTGTGTCAACTATAAATTCTTTGCTTGCATCAGGGTATCCCAAAATAGGTGTTTTGCACAGACGGTCCTTGAGCTCCTGGAATGCGATATTGCAACTTTCATCCCAGCAGAAATGTCGCTTCTCCT